CACTTTCAAAGGTCTCATGTACTTAATGCGCCGTACATCGTACGACTTGCACGATGCAAGTTCACGGATCGCTTCAAGACCAATTAAAATTCAAAAAAATCACTGAAACATGTAGGTTTCTGCTCAAAAAAAGAAATTTTGATTCTAATAATAAATGGAATGATAAATAAATTCATGTTTTCGTTGATGTTTTGTTGAAAAAAAACAAGGAGGAAGATGAAGCAAAACTGATTTAGTGAACGTTCAGAGTGATCACATAACATACAATACACAGAACAAACGAATCAAAAAAGGAACCAAAAAACATTTAGATGGTTAAAAAGTGAACCTGCGAAATATGAACAAGCACCAGACGGCAAACCTAGCGCCGCAAAATCCATACTATCCAGTTATCTCTGAACATAAACATAACAGATTTGAAAACAGTTTCGACGAGCGCGACTGGATAAACTACAAATCATTCAACACCTTTTTAACGCGAGAAGATGAATGAGTAATAATATCCCAAAGATTAATCAACTAACAGTTAAACACTATAACGATGTTCCCTCCAAGTTTTAAATTCCAAACTTCATTTGCCTGTTATATGCAAGAAACAAATAACACTTCTAAAGATTAGTTTACAGTTTTTTTGACATGAGGAAGCTCTTTCCGTCTAATAACTGCAAAAAAATTTTTAATGGTTGAGTGCAATTCGATGTAGATGGTTGAATGATTTCTTATGAGGATATAACCTCCTTCTCAGAAAAAATATGTAGTTTGGGCTGTTTCGTTGAAACACGGCAAAAGAATTTCATTTATTTCCTCAACTTGCTACGTTTCTCTTTCACACATTATAGCTGTAACAGTAGATCGCAAAAAGCTACAATCCAGAAGATACTAGTCTTCTATCAAGCAGATATACCATGCAGTATTATGTCATTTTCATGAACTGTCTATCCGTATTGGGTTTTATTGTTTTAACTGTATCTATCTACTTGATGGTATTCGTACCATGCAGGCTCAATTTCACTACTCGTTTCGGTATGCTCGGTCATGCAATCACGTAATTTTGATTAAAAAATTCATATTCTCATATAACACTTCCACCTCTTCAGCTCTGGGATTTGCCAAATTTCATTAACTCTTGGAACGGTTCCAGTGTTTTTACTACCATGCCCATCTGGCTATCCAAATGGCATTTTGACATATATGGGCATGACTACGAAAAATCAAGCAATATTGCAAATTATATTATTGTTAGGTAATTTCAAAAGTGCAAGAAATTATTTGTGATTTCTAATTCATTCAAGTTGTGGGATGGTTTGTGACCTATCTCTCAATAATCAGAGTATTCGCATTCACGCTAAATATAACTAGCAAATGGAAAAACCGTCTGTTAATACTGTTTTTCGGCTATCTCATCGTACACATTTTCCTTTTCCTATATCTATCAGTGAATGCAGTAGAATTTGGGAAGGAAGGCCGTGAGCTGTGCATAAAGGTTCTTCATGACGTTCTTTGCAGCTGCAACTACAAAGAACGATTTGAAATTTTTTGCATTGAACCTATTGTATTTAAGAAATTCAATTCCATACCGCCACCAGAAATATTTTTGGATAGGACTGTGTTTTTTGTACTTGAAAAAGACATTTTTTTAATTCTGCTAATGTGCGATATCCTTGTCGCCGTGCTTACAATAGGTGGCATCTCTATAGTGGCTTGGATAATGTTATTATATCATTTGAAAGCACAAGCTAGAAGTACAACGTCCAACAAATTCATGAGATTTCAGAAGAATTTTACTCTCGCTATACTATTTCTGGTGTGATGAACGGAAGGACATAAACTAACTTTTTTTTGCAGAGTATGAGTCATTCTTTCGGACTGTTTGTCCCCGCTTTAATGTGTTTGGCCTCTGTCGCTTTCAGTACTCCCATTCCTAGTACAACTTCTTGATTTTGCCAGACATTTATAAGAACTTTCAGTTATATCGCATTACATTTTTCTTTCACTGGGAATTTATCCTTTAATGGGAGATAGTGTCATTTTAATTGCAACTCCGCCTTATAAGGCAAGACTAACCAAGATGTTGATGGCTGGTGAGATGCCAAAGTTTATCCTAAAAACACTTCAGCTTTCCAGTTACCAATTTTTTCAAAACGACTTCAGGATCGAAAACAAACGTGATCTATGCTGTTTGAAGCAGAATAAATTCGGTCGAAACCTAGTGATTATGTATCATGATTCGAAGGGATCAAGTATATGAGACACAACCGTCTCTACCTCTCTAAGATGCAGTTTCTTCTCTTCCATCTTTGTTTGAATTGGTTTGAATAAATATAGGGAAGGTCCTTAATCTTTGAATAGTTCGTTCCTCAATCAAGCTAATCTGAGAGCATCTCAATAATCAAATTAAGACTTTCAAAGAACTACTGAACCAACCGATCATGTTTTTCATTTCTTAACTTATGATGTTTCTTCGCATCGGTGATTTCTCAGAAATTGAGAACACCTGCAGATAATGTTCAACGAACTGTTTGCCAACAAAGCTGATGAATGGAGCTCTAAATAAGTATGTTCGGTGGGGCGAAAAAGATTAAAACATACTTATGTCATCGGAGCCAGCTAGTCGAGATTGAATCAACTTGGGTATAACCTGTAAAATTTGTTTCCTCTCAACCGAACACTGTTTACCCCCACAGCAGAACAGTTATGAACCTCAATCAGTTTATTCGATAAAAAACAATATTGATACATAACGTGGTCAGTAGGTAACGAAACCAAAAGAGAGACCCACGAAAGTAGATACTCCTGAAAAAAACTGATCTGAGTTCCGAAGAAAATTATGACTTTGTGGGACAGAGAATATTCTATTTTTCTCTTTCGGGACAACAGGTGAAGAAATATACGAAGGAACTCTGAAGTTTTGCAATAAGACCGTCATTGGATTCTTTCGTCGGGAGAGAAGGATCTGGAAGACAATACGTATTATACCGATAAGCTTTGAATGATTACCATCAGGAGATTCGTTACTATTGTTTGGCTCTGGGGGATTCCCTCTACTACTTACTCCTACTGGTGAGTCCCGGATTTCTATAATAAGAATCATTATCATAATCAACAGGTTGTGCACCTACCTTCGTAAACATGCGACTCAGGTCTGAAGGAAATCCCATTTACTGAAGAGTCTCCGTTAGGCGGCTTCCACTGAAATGTGCGGGGAGTTGGCTGTAGAGTGATAGAATTGCCTGCTGGCATAGCTGAACTTTCTAATGTTATGCAATGCTTACTCTAGTAAGAGAAAACCAACTGACCGGATTCATTGTTACTAGACTGTTCTATGTTTGAAATCTCAATTTCTCTATTCATGTGACTGAAAGGTGCATAGATTGGTTCTTCACTACCGGTGCTCCACGTTCGTAGAGCTGAAAACGTTAAACAAGATCTTGACCAGAAGGGATGTTGAAAACAGACCAGGTTCATGAATACCGGAATCTTCTGAGTGCGGTACCCGTTCAGTGTTGGCGCTCCGTGTTGCTAGAGTTTAGAACATTACATAAGTTCTCCTCCAGCAGAGGTATTAAAAACACACCAGGTTCATGATTCCCGGAATCTTCTACGTGCAATACCCGTTCAGTGTCGGCGATCCATGTTGCTAGAGCTTAAAACATTACATAAGTTCTCCTCCAGCAGAGGTATAGAAAACACACCAGGTTCATAATTCCCGGAATCTTTTACGTGCGGTACCCGTTCAGTGTCGGCGCTCCATGTTGCTAAAGCTTAAAACATTATATAAGTTCTCCTCCAGCAGAGGTGTTAAAAACACACCAGGTTCATAATTCCCGGAATCATCTACGTGCGGTATATTTTCAGTGTCGGCGCTCCATGTTGCTAGAGCTTAACATTTGTATTCGCTCTTTGGCCGAACAGATATAACAAACTGACAAGGTTCATAGAATGAGGAATCTGCGGCCTGTTGATTGCCTATCCCAGTTGGAGCTCTTTCTTGAGGATTTCTATATAATGGTAAATTCTGATAATGTGACGTTGCACATTTTTCGCTGTTCTGCCTTATGATCTCATTATTTAAATCACTAACGCTGCTTGAAGCGAATGCTGAAAAACCCAATAGACGCGCTGAACAAAAATGAACTTGCCTTCAAAATTGATTTTAAAATTTTCCAAGGGAGCGCATGGGGGTGTAACAAATAAATCTTTCTTAACAAACACACTATAATTGTCCTCATGCTCACAATCATTTATTTTCGATTTTATTCTGTTTTCATCTGCGTACGTGTAAGTAAACTTTCAGTATGAGATTAATTACCTGTATTCCTATCTTTTCTTTTACGGAGCTTAAAGTAACCAAAAAAAGCCTTACAAGCAAGCGCGTAAGCCTGAAGATAATCATTTGAATAGTCATATTGTCTAACACATCTGTCATACTGCTTCGTTCCCATAATCAGTATCCAAGTCATTAGCATAAACATGTTCTAGGAATACACCATGTTTGAACTCACAACATAAGAGCGCGATGTCATATATGTCTTGCTTTACTTTCAGAGATTGCCTAGCAGGGGTTTCCCAGGAGCTGTCTTAAACAACGCAAAGATAAGTTTAGAAATATTTCTTGAGGCAGTTGATAAACTCACGAGCGTTCACATACTTCTTCACTGACTGAATTATGCCTATGCAATCCGTACGAATCACGACGACTGCGGTTGTACTGAAAAGTGCTACTTCGATAAAATCAACTTTACTGCCTCACGGATAGGTTTCATCCTTCAGTAAGTCTCGAAGTGCCGTTTTGATTGCTGCCGTTGAGTCTGTCTTCTGCACTTTCGAAGATCTACAAATTGTGTCTTAGCAGTAGAGATCAGAAATAATTGAAACCTATTCAATCTATGGCGGGGACCATGATATATTCCTATAGAGCCTGATTGAGAACTGTCCCAAATAGCACACGTATAGACCTGACAAAGGGAGTTTGAAAATGAGGAGATAATCATGAATTACGTAATGAAAACCAGGACGGAAGATTCTATTCCATTCGGCATCTTCAGCATCATTTATGTGGACTTGAAACTTACTGAATCTATCATCGATAATATGCATTGCATAATCCCAATTCTAAAAAACAGAAAGAAACGGAAATCACTTCCTCCCGTAAACACATACTTTTATAATTCCAGTATTTGACAGAGTTGAAGTTTCTCGGTTACTACTGTCTATGACTGTCTGAGTCTGGTTACGCATGTTCATGTTGGACATAGCATGGTCCGGAATCTTATTATATCCCTCTACTTGCACTGAAAATAATTATCGTGTTGAAGACAATGCGAGAAATCGATAATACGAAACTCTCCTGGAACCATTAGATTAACATACCTCTGATATAGTTATCATCATTCATTCCAAAAGTTACTATATGATTCTTCGAAACCTAAAACACAATGAATGAGACTGTTATAGAGTACTCCAACCATGCTCCGTTCTCTTCCGAGCTCTCAGCTAATCATATAATCATCAACTCCATAAAACCTAAACGCCATGAGTGTATGGTAGTAACTATGTAAGAAATTCAACATATATTATTTGAAGCATGTTCGAAAAACACTAGTGAAAGGAAAGGAATGAGGCCGGAAAGAGAACAAAGAAATGCAGCACGCTTAACTTTAATAATCTTTCTATTGATGAATTGATAAGCTTATATCAGTTGATACACTACGCAGTTTCATTTAGCCGGTAATTATTCGACTCTCTCAGATATTTTAACAACAAACTTGAGAATAGTAATCCCGGGGGTCTGAATCATTATTCTTCTTCATTCATAAACCCTATTTCATCTTGTTTCAGTTCAAGCTTATGTGCTATCGCTGCTAAATACTATCAAACCTTGTATCACAACATTGTCATGCTCTTGAAATTTTAGACATATTCAATTATCAGTTATAACCCTTAATGAAGAAATCAATGAGCCTCCAAAATTGAGCTGACACGTTTTCTGTAAAAGTTGTGATAAGCGTGAAAACCTTTCCGGTTTGATCATTTCTTGGTGCTTTGGGCGAAGAATTCATAACTGATGGTGAGGTAAAGATCGTGTTTCGATAAATTGATCAGACTGGTAATTGATGGAAACTCATTTTTGCAGTCCAGCATAAGTTACCAGAGTTATAAACATGAATTGAATGTTGTCGGGTAATCTGAAAGTTCCAGTCAGCACAATACAACTAGTCAAACCTTTTGTGGGAGCGAGGGACAACTTGTTAAGCCTTCGAAAAGGCATCCATTTTGTTAACAAATGATTATTTTTTGAAATCCTATTTTTCTCGAAGAAGAACTCAAAAAAAAGGGAGAGCTTCATTGTTTCGATTTGCAACAAGACGTGATTGAGGTTTTGAAAAACATCAGACATTTCGTGAGACAATCTTCGTGCTCTTCAGTTTCATCGTTTGATTCTTGACTGTTACGTGCATCTGTAACTTCACGGACGATAGAGGATCCAGTGTCCGGAGCTATAGCATCATTGTTCGATTGGTGGCAATCCATTGGCTCTATAACTTCAGGAATAAACTAATCCAAATTCTAGTAGTAGTCTCACCCTTCACTTTAGTAGGATAATTAAACACATTCATGCTACGACTATCAGCTAGAGAATCCTCAGAACTTTTAGCGGATGCTAGAACAGGTTTAAGACGATGATCAGGCACCTTTGGTGGTTCGAAAGAAATGACAAAAGATGGTCCAGTCGTGGCAGGTATGTTTAATAAGCGAGTTGGTCTTCCTAACACTGAACATGAATATTTTTTGAAATGAGAATCTAGTGCTCCTGACCTTCATTGCAACGAGGAGTCGAAGGGATTATATCCTCGTATGAGCATTCAATGCCTGCCCCTTGTAATGTCGTAATCTCATCTGCTGATGATCTAGTAGAGAATGCTGTTGAGCCAGTGTATGAAGATGGTACATCAGTGGTCGAAGCTTCATTATTGACATCTTAGGTGGAAGGAAATTATCAAAAAATATGAAAACAACTCACTATTTCGCAAGTTTCGAGAACTCTTCGAGTTAGATCGTGGAGGTTGACCTCCAACAAAAACTCGATGAGTTTCAATGAGATCTACATTATTATTCTTGGAAAGAGTTCGGTTCTTGTCTATAATCTACAGTTGAAGGTTGTACATGAAGACCTTTACCTAAACTCCTGTCTCTGACGTGACTGTTACCAGCGTTCGATTCATTCAAAGCCATTCTTGCAAGCATATCAGCCTTAACAGAGATTTAAAAAAACATTTGCTGGAGATGAACCTACAGCTAGGTTACCATAATCAATATCTGTGTCATGGGCATAAACATGCTCTATACACACACCTTTAGGAAATTTGTAGCACAAGCTAACAAGTTCGTGTATGTCAGTTGGATTGCTTTGAGTAACACAAAAATGCCGATCATATCTGATTATTAAAATCTAAAAACCTACGTATTATTTTGAATCAATGTTCTGACAGCTTTTATCGATTCCAAACAGTCTGTACGTACTACGATCGTCTGGGATCTGCAAGCATAGTTTTCTATTATGTGAGATACTGACATTGTCGAACTTGTATGCTTCATGTTTCACCAGATCCTGGAGCGCCGTTTTAATTGCGTTTATTTCACATAAATAAACGTTTGGCTTATCGACTTTGAATGATCTGCAACTTCTCTTCTGAGTGTTACAAGAAGAACAACTGAAACCTATTTAAGACGTGGTTCGGTCCATGATATATTCCTACTCCACCTAAATTCGGAGTTTTCCAAGAGCCGTCTGTATATACCTGAAAAAGCATGATAGTAAGATGTTGTTCAGCTTTAACTAACATAATGATGTTTGGGCAAAAACTGTCTGTTCCATTCAACATCTTTGTTCATTTCGCGTTTTTTCATTTCCAAGTACTTCTCATTCGTTCGTTCCATAGAGATGGACACTTTCTGAAGAAATAGGACTTTAGGAAAAAAGTTAAATTGCACACTCCATACTTTTGTCTCCTTATTTCTCTGCAAGGTCCTGCCTCGACGTCGTATATTATTCCTACCGTTTGTGTGGGTATTGGGTAAGCTTGTTTCGTTTCTATTCCCTTTTTTATACAGATTTGGAGCACGAGCCCAATATGATTTTGCTTTAGGGTGGGTTGAATTATGAACGTCGGAAGGCGATGTAGCACCAGTGGAATTATAATGATTTGCATGTTGGCAATAGACACCATTTATAACAGATCCTCGCTTTCTTGTTCTATTATAGGTTTTACTCAGTTGACGGCCAAGTTTATGAAGTACATGAACCTAGAATATGCTCAAGTTGTCAGAAGAAATGAGCCTCCCGTAAACGTACTTCAGGAGTTTTTTTTCTTGCAGCATTGCTATTTTGATTTAGATTTTCGTTTCCGAGTCTATCATTTTCGTTTTTTTGCTTCTCGGAACCAACAGGAGGGGTCGACGTTTGCTGTTTCTGATGTTGGTTAGAAGCTCCACGACTATTTGATCTACTTTGATCGGCTTGTCTATTATTTTCCGAACCGTTCGAACTTTCTGAATTGATATAGAATAATATAGCACAAGTCGAATGATTAAAGTTTCAAAGCGTGTTTTCTTCAGAAAAAAATATAAAGTTGAAGGCTTCCCTCTCACTTAGGTATGTGAACCTTACCTTTGGCAGTATTACGGGCAGTACTTGGGGAAGGTGAAACGCTAGAACGCTTAGCCTGCAATTTCATTAAAGAAAAGTAAATGCTTGAATTCAAACCATTTCCAGATGTATAACTTTTTATTTTTTATGTACTACTCTTCTTCATATCGCTATGCCTATAATATTTGTGAAGTGAGCATCCACGTGGAAAAAACAAGAAACCAACCATCTCTCAGGAAACTTTGCATTAAAATAAGAAAAGTAATAGCTTGCCACACACTTCACTCCGTTTTCTGCAATATGATAAGGCTATATCAGTCATTCATTCTGTTAATCTATTCACCATTATGTCATTTTTCTTTCCTGGGAATATCTTTAATTAGAAGTTACTCTTCTAAATGTGCAAATCCCTTACTATTTCCCACGTTTCTCTCTCATGACTGTCTCAACAACCCCCATGTGGCAGTCATTTCATCTCTTGAAGACATCTTTCTCGAAGGAATGGCTGATGTTTTCTAAAAATTACTAGATGGCAATCTAATCAAAAATCATGAAACATAATAATAAAACTTGTATCATAGCTATTCGACAAACCTCTCTTTTTTCTTTTTTCAGAGCCATACTCCCGTAGTGAACGCTTCACATTCAAGCTTCCATTGTCCTTATACTGATTTCAAACTGTAAACAACTATTGTAAATAAACGAACACGAGCTTGTTACCGTTTATGGGAAATACATAAGGCTTTCATGATTCACATCAGATCGAGAATTCTTGATGGTTATAATGCTCTTCTCTAAAAGTTGTGATAAGAGTGTTAACCTTTCCAGTTTCGGTCTCTTAGATGGTTACCTGTTCCTTGTTAACGAAGGTAATTGATATGTCTCGTATGACATGATTGTTTCTTTGTACTTTTGACAAAAATTTCATAATTGTTCTCATGTGCTCACTATTGATACGGAAGGATACTGATGGTGAGTTCGACTCCTCTTGCCAAACCCACATAACTGTGCGGCAATTGGCTCAGCTCATTATCGTTATCGAGAAGTTGAAAAATTTCAATTTCTTTTTTTCTTTGATAGCTATGTTGAGTGGAGCATCTATCTCAATCATTTAAACACGAAGCTTACGCATAGTTCTATGCCGGAAGCATTTCCGTTTGATGTAAAATTAAAAAATCTCTCTCTTTGTACGCAAAGTAACCACCACGCGCACGCTTTTGTGGGCGGGATGCTAATAACGGGAGTCAGGCTTACCAGCCCGAAATTTTCAAAACAAACGTTTTTTTTTCAGTTTTAGAGTTGTTAGTATAATGGATGTTAAAAATGTAGGAATCAGTGCTATACAAATCTATTTTCCTAAAAATGTGGTCCGGCAAGATGATTTTGAAAAGGTTTGTGTCTGATTACACCATCTAAGGCATGTCGAAAAGCTTTTTTCAGTATTGTAATGTTGCGGCGGGGAAATATACTGTTGGCCTTGGTCAGCAAGAAATGGGATTTTGTTCTGACAATGAAGATATTGTGTCGATTTCTTTGACCGTAACCGATAAGCTCCTACGGGATTATGATGTAAATTTTCTGATTGTGGTGTCATATCAAGGCGTATTCAGATTGACCGGAATTCTATTGGCTTTTTAGCCGTTGGTTCAGAAACTCTTATTGATAAAAGCAAAAGTGTAAAAACTGAACTCATGCGTCTCTTTCCGGATAACACGGATATCGAGGTGGGTGGGGGCTTTTCAACACATAAGTCATCAAGTATTCAATCACGATCCTCTTCAGGGTGTAGATGTCAAAAACGCATGTTACGGAGGAACTCAAGCAGTTTTTCACGCCATTGACTGGGTTTATGCTAATTACAACACTGAGAGAAGAAATGCTATCGCCGTTTTATCTGATATCGCTGTTTATGAAGAAGGGTCGGCCAGATGTACAGGGGGTACATTATTGCTTGCTTATCTTTGTACTCGGTGCCATTTAGGAGTTGGGGCTATCGCTGTTCTCATTACTCCTGAAGCGCCCATTGCTTTCGAAAGAGGCTTAAGAGGAATACACATGACATATAACTGGGATTTTTACAAGCCAATTTGTAAGTCGCATGAACATATGAATATAAAATATTTCTTACCAAAACCTTAAAAGGTAAAAAAGTAACGGAATACCCCTTGGTTGATGGTCATAAGAGTTTGAAATGCTATATGGACGCTTTGGACAACAGTTATAGTTCCTACAAACGTAAAGCACAAAGACTCTGTGGAATTGGTTGGTTGCTCAGTACTGAATCTTCTTACTGTTCCTCTTCTCAGAACCGTCAGTTCATGATTTCGATGCTTTAATGTTCCATTCTCCGTTTGTAAAAATGGTTCAAAAGGCTGTTGGTCGTATGGCTTACTCAGATTTCTTGCAAGGCAACTACCAAGCTCCTGAATATGAACAACTTAAGTGAGTTTTTATCTCGAACGCTGGTGTGATGTATGTTTGATTAGAAATCTTGCTCCAACCACTTCTGTTGACGATGGTGATTTCATGAAAGTTCTGCTCAAAGCAGCTGACCCGTTATGGAAAGAAAAAACAGAGCCGAACATAGAGTTTAACAGGTGCATCCATTCAGCTCAACAGACTTTCTTATGAAAATTATATTAGGCGAATTGGAAATATGTACACATCCTCTCTTTTTGCTCAACTAGTCAAATACATATCAAAAGGGTTAGTCCTTTAGCAAAGTCTTCCCATTCTCTTGTTTTTTTTCAGAATTTTTTCTTCTTCTTCTAGAATTTTATTTTTTGCTTACGGCAGTGGCTCCGCCTCTGCAACTTTCTCTGCTACAGTCATATCCACTCATGAGAGTTTATCAAAAATGCAGGAAGTTTGTCAACGAGCCGTAAAACAGCTCGACCACCGTGACGTCCACAGTTGCTCATCCTATTATGATGCCTTGAATGACAGGGAAAAATTTTTAATAGCTGATGGTTTGTTTGTTTGACTATTCATTATTGTTGCTCTACTTTCTCGTATCAACATTCAAATTTCAGTTCCATACATACCAAGATCTTTATCCGATAGCAGGTTTTCTTTCTTTGATAACACATTCTTCTTGGCTTCCATCGACGAACTCTATAGACGCTCATACAGTCAGTTAAATAGTATAGAACCGAATGGTCAGTGCAACACCGTCTAGAAATAGCTCCGTTTATAACTTCTCTCTATTGTTCTTCTTTCGGTTGTTTCCTAGAATTGTTTGTAGAGTTTGTTTTTCAATATTTTCTTTTCGTTTTGATGATTATGCTGATGATAGTTTAATATTTGTTATCCGTTACTACTCGTCGGAGTATAAAATAGATTTTTAAAACCACGTGTCTAACAGGTCTGATGCAGAAGTCTAATACTTTTCAAATATTTTTGTTCCTATCCAAAGGATGCAATGTAATTTTTTGTTGTATTTAAGATGACTTCGAGGTCTAGAAGTCGTTCCCGCGGTAGCAGTTCCAGGTCTGAACAGATTTCCACCTTGCGAACTTAGATTAATCCTTTCAGTAGACGAAGCTCTCCGTCAAAATCTCCAAGTCGATCACCTGATCGAAGCAGGTCACGACACAGGAGGAAAAGACTTTCCTCCTCGAGAAAGTAGCTGATAGCTTCCCTATTTGAACTCATAATTTTTTTAAGCGTTTCACCCAGCAAATCTTCACATGAAACTTTGCGAGTGGCTTGGAGAGAGGTAAAACTTGATGAAAATAATTTCGATATTTGGATGAATGTGGTTCAGTTGGCAGATCAACTGGTATTTTTCATTTTCTCCAAGTTTTGCTTAATTTTCGGTGTTTAGAATGAAGCGGATGTAAGCAGGGAGGTCTACGAACGCTTCCTAGTTCGCTATCCGTTCTGTTACGGTTTTTGGAAAAAATTAGCTGACTTCGAGCGTAGGAATAATCGATTCGAATCAGCTCTTAAGGTAAATGCATTGTTGTAGAACGAGTTTCATATGTACTCGTAGGTATGGGATCAAAGTGTGACAGCGATCCCATTATCAATTGATCTCTGGCTTGGTTACATTGGATATGCTCGAGAAGTCTATGGGTCTGCTGGCGACACGAATTCTATTAACTGGTCAGTCATGGTCATAGCTTACGCGTAATTGGAACTTTGTGTTCAGCTTATACAGTCGAGCATTAGCAACCGCAGGCCTGGAATTCAAGAGTGATAGTCTATGGAACCACGCTATTACATGGCAAGAGACAAGAGGAGATTGGAAGACAGTTTCTGAGATATACGACAAATTGTTAACGATACCAACTATGATGTATAAAAGTCATTATGAAAGGTTTACCATACGATTCTTTGGATGTAGTTGTGAGTGAAGACGCCTAATTTAGATTTGAGTCTATTATAAATTTCTATGAGCCTGATATATTTTTGTCGAATGATGAATACGATGAAATTATGTCGAAAGCTCGAAAGCATCTCAATTTAGGGGTTTGTTCATAGGTTTTGATGAGGAATCTACTTTTTTCTGCCCTTCAGAGTGATGAGTGCTATACCGAAGAAGAAATCCCAGAAACTGTACCTCAGGGTGAACCAACTGTTAAAGTTGAGGATGAAAGTCCTAAACTTGTGAAGGTCCGAAAGGTTTTATACTTGCTGAGCATGGCGAGTAACTTGAAAACATTCTTTCAGCACAACCCTGATGTTTTATTATTTTTCCGTAGTGAACTCTTAAATAGACGGCGTAAGGTTCATGAAAAAACGATGGAGAAGTATAACGCACGTGTTGGATTTGAGGGACAAGTGATATAACAACTTTAAATCTGTTCATTAACTATATACGTTCAGATCAAGAGACCCTATTTCCATGTGAAGCCATTGGAAACTGCACAGCTCAAGAATTGGAAACAGTATCTTCATTTCGAAATGGATCTTGGAGAACGGAAGAGAGTTTTGGTTCTATTTGAACGCTGTGTCATTGCATGTGCTTTGTATGATGAAATTTGGCTTCTGGTTTGTTCAAACAACAGTGCTCATCGAATTAGCATTCATTCTTTTCAGTATTCAAGATGGGCAATTAAAAATAAAGATTTGAAAGAAGCTCGTTCGATTATCAAAAGAGGAATCGTGCATTGCCCTAAGAGTCTACATTTAGCACTAGCGCTTTCGGCCTTATATGAACAAGAAGGTATTTGAATCAATCTGAAGGCTCACCTGAAACCTCTTCCAGGGAATTACAAGGAAGCTCTTCACATATTGGATGTTTTTGATAGAAAAAACGCCGGCTATGCAACTATCCAAGTGAGGCGGTTGGGAATTCAACGGAGAATGGAGCAATCGGATAGGTTCGTTAATTCCTTGAGTCTTATCTGAACCTCTTTCTTCACAGCAAGCCGAATTACTCTAATGTGATTAGCAAGTGGGAGACTCTAATACATTCCCCTGACTCGACAAGAAGTTTGAGCAGCTTTTACTCGATAAAGTTGGCAAGGTTCTTGCAATCTCTCGAAGATCTGTTTATTTTCGGAGGTTTTTCAGATTCCACCTCAAGATTAGAAATGATAGAAAGGTTGCTGAGAAAGTTATCAAAAAAGCTCTGGAAAGAGATCGAGTTTGTGTACCCTCTAGTTTCCAAAGTACATTTTTTTTCTCAGGATAATATGCAATTACATCTCCAGCTGATTGACATGGCTTATACGGATCCTGAATTCTCTCAAGTACATCATAAATTCCTTGTCTACACATTTTACTTTACAACATTTGCAGACTCGTGTACTGGAAGCATTTGATAGTGCCTTGAGAGCTAAGTTTCCTCCAAATGATAGACTGAGAATAAGTCAAAGGAAACTAGATTTCCTAGAAGATTTGTGCTACGACATAAATATGTAAGATTCCTTATAGATGAGCTTATCTCATACGAACTGCGTTCAGACTTCAAGAGCATTATGAGATACATCATTCCCTTATAAAAGAAATTGAAAATCCCGATCTCCATACTCGCAAGAGGAAGTATGAAAGAAACGATCGCCGGTTTGTGAAAAACAAGTGATTGTCACAATAATTATCGAGCTTACAGTGACGACGACAGAATTAGCCGTGGATATGACCGAAGAGACAATGACCGATCATCGCATGCTTCTCACGCTCCATACGCATATGCTGGTCAGCCACAGGCTCAACAGTATTATATGTCGAATGGTGGGTTTTATAACTCAAAAATGTACTAGACAAATCCAAACGTATTCTGTGAAATAAGCTAGAAGCTGGTTACTTTTAAAGCATGTGTTGTTCGAAGTTTATGCTTATTGTTGTTGACTTGCATGTAATGTATCAATTATTTCTTTGTGCGTGTGTGTGTGTGCCTAATAATTAAATTTACATATTTTCTCGTTCGTTTTCCAAATGAATTCGATGAATTACAGGATATGTGGATCAATATAATCAACAAATGGCTGGGGGTAATATGAATTATCAGTACTATTAAACTGTTTTGTTATGATCTGCTTTAAGTAGTTATATGTATCTCGTCTTATCTGTTTATAAAGGGATTTTTACAAATAAATATTTCATAAGCCATTATCACAGTTCCCATTTTTGAAGACCACGAGTGTCGTTTCTGATGTTGCTTGCTTGGAAGACGATCTTTCATTGCTCATATACGTTTTTCCAACTGTAACAATGGGTTGGATAATGCTAATATGCGAAAGCGTAAAAACCTAAGGATCCACTACGCCAAGCCAATGCACAACCAGTCACATATACAATAATATAAATGCACAGAAGCAGTAATGCACTTCCAATAAAAACCGTTCCTCTGCAAAGACGTTTATAGTACAAGTTGCTAAGAGATTAGAATTACATGAGTGTCATGTGAAGATCTCGTTGACAACATTCCATAGCGCAACACGTGTCATCACAAATAAAGTACGTGTGGAACCACTGAAATATTCAAAGTTCCTCTCACTATACCATGTTGTTTGATGCTAGCTTCTCATTTTCATCTTCCCTCTTGTTCAGAAACAGAGAAACTTACCGGATTAGCTAATTTTGCGGCTTTTTCCGGCCCGATTATATGCTTCATATGAACTGCATAGGTACAGATAGTGTTGTCAGCCTGAATGTATAGAATATGCTAATCAGTTTCTATTTTAAAAGATCAAATTTTTGGACTTTTGTTATTTAAACACTGTTTCTTTATGGCACGCTAATTATTCATAGTTTTCACGTGTTTCACGTGAACCTCGTGTACTACCTCATTTTCATTATAGAAAGTTGCAGAAAGCGGTCGCATTCACTCATTCTTTTTCATTTTCTTGTCTAAATTTAATATGAATGCATGTGGGTGGTCGTTAAGCATTTTTTTGTTTCCATTTTTTGCACGCAAAACTAATGAAAGTAAATTGAATTAGTTCAACTGAAGACGGGTGTCCTTTTGAAAAGGCGACTAAATAACTCAAAATACACCCCATGTTCTGTAAGCCGTAGAAGGAAAGTTTAGAAATCTGTTTAAGCGAATGATCTTATAGTACATGATTGTTCGATGGAATCGCGGATATTCGACCTTTCTTAATAAATGTTTTTCGAGAACCCTATTCCGTGGGGAGAGATTGAAAGCAGAGAAAGTTAATTTGTGAGCTACATTCATCTATAATGCTCAAAAACTACATGAGAGATATGTATCAGATTCGATTTTGCAAAGTAAGACGATTTCGTTATGCGTTGTCTTTGACGAACTTCTGCCAGAGATGGAAAGTTTTCAACTTATTTGACACATGAATCTTGTTTTGATAATTGTCAAATGTGACAGTTAAGGGGATGATAGAGCAAAACAGAATGAGCTTCATCATTTGAGCTTGAATGTCAGAAACACGAAACTCACATCTTTCAAAGAATATACCAAGTTTGTATCATTTTGATAATAATGTGTTATTCCTGATATGGTTGAGAGAGTTGTCGAGCAGTTCGCACAAAAATCCTGAAAGCTCGGGCTAGCTGTTTGATTAATTTCGTGCCACATCTTCGGTCGATAGATGTTCCCTGCAAATTACAATTTGAAAAAAAAACACTTAATGTTAGTTTTAATTTTGAAATATTTTCCTATCTGTTCAGATCATTTTTTTAGGGGATCACACATTGTCTCTCGGCTTGTTCTTTCTGTTCAACCGTTCCCCCCTTTCTCAGTTTTCGTAGTGTCAAAAGCTATTAGAAAGATCATTGAGTTAGAAAATGCATGAGTTCTTATTCGATCTTTAACATGAAGCTTACATCTCAAATTCATAAGATGGCTTCCATGAAAATGAGAGCAACAAGAACTCCTTTCTCTGAGCAAACAAAATGAAAAGTTAGAATGAATAAACACAAAAAGAAATGTTTCTTTGTTGGATTTTTCATTTTCTTATAACCAATTCTGTCACATCATCTTCCATTCGGTCTGTTTTCATTCAAAAAAGATTTGCAGTTTATTGTTGTGATGTTTAACCAAGCTATAAACAAATGACGGAGAGGAGGGGGTTGAAGTTGTTCTCTGGCAAGGACACTAAGCTCAAATGCTCCCACAGTCGCATACTTCTCTCATCATTGAACTAATACGGAAGTGATCGGGGTGTGTCTACAGAAAAAACAACAACAGCAGTCACGGAACCAATTTATGTCTTTCTGCTTTCTCTTGTTACTTCTATCGAACCCTCTCTCTCTTCCGTTTTCTCTCTTTCTCGCTCTCTTTCAACATTAACAAAGTTCTTCGTTACATTCTCATAACTGTTGAAGAGAGAGGCAGCGATCAAGATTTATCCCCCCTTGTGAAATGACGATTTTCGAACTTGTGAAAGTTAGAAGAGACTCAATCTTCATCTGCCTTCTTTTATGCGAATTATGGGAGAAAACAAGATGAAGCATAAAAAAATTTGTTTCTCTCACACCCCTGAAGATTATCTGAATGCTCCATGTATGTCTCTTGATGACGAAAGCCAAAGATGGAACAAGCGAGAATAGCTGCATTAACAAATCATCGGTCAAATTTCTGTCAGCTGCGGGCTCGGGACTCAAGAACATCAACAATGAGATTTTATTTTTAAAAATCATCATCAAAATTATTTCATTGTCTTGTAACTAAATCAAGAATCATCAACTGCATGAAGCATTGCTTGTTCTTTCAGAACTATTATTGAATTTCATCAGCAGTGGTATCGAGGGACACAGTGAACAGGAGAGGATAAGGAAAGGACAAAGACACAGAGACCAAGGAAAGAACAAAAAAAAAGAAGCATTGAGCTGTTCGTCAACCAGAAACATTAGGAAAGAAGCTTTTAAGTTCCAATGTGCTCATATAAATACCTTGCGTTGGCAAGCAAATTACGTCTTCAAACAATCGTTCCATTCTTATATCCGACAGCTATTGACATTCACATGATCTTCATCGCTATTCTATTCACGGAAGCATCATGGTTCACTCTCGTTGTGGTCATTTTTAGACAAAAAAGGTCATCAAATTTGGATACAATGGCAAAAATTCAAATCCACAAATGGGATTTACGAAGTTATAATAAGATATCTGAGAGAGAAGGCGGGAAGCGGGCGAAAATCTTGAGCTAAACTTCTTTAAAAAGAAAAACGAAGGAAAAAAAAGTTTTTCTTCAAGAAAAACAAGAAATTTGAAGTAAATTTCCGATGCGAATTCATGGAAATATTTTTAGAAAAGTATGAAGAAGAAGGTGAAAGATGAACATGAATATTTACCTTTTTTCGGAATATCAAACAGCTGATATCGGGTGGCTTGACAGAAAGCCATTAGGTCATCCAGTATCAGAAACAAGTAGATGGGTAATAACATTGCACATGTTATAACATTTCAAATCTAGGGATAGAGGAGAGCCAAAGAATATCACGGCTTCGCACTTGTATCCTTGATTATCTGAAAAAAATGGCTATAGAGAGATTAGATTAGAGATATGCGAGATGAAAAGGGAGAGAAGAAGAAGAGAGAAAGAGATGATGATGATGATGATGGTGAAGACTGGTGTGGTCAGAATGAGAGAGAGCTCAAAGCCAAAGTGTGAAGTAAATATCGGCAAAATTGAAAAATAATTTGTTTAAAAATAATTTTCTTTTCATCTTCTCATGAGCATCTAGAAGTGTGAAAAGGAAAGCTGTATGGCAGCGTGAGAGAGAAAATGGCTGAACGAGATTGTAAGGAAAGCCGACAGAGCAAAAAAAAAAGTGGATAAGCTTCTGAGGTAACGACAATAATATGAATCGAGATAACATCATCTGATTTTGCATGAAAACTAATTCAGCAATGAGCTCCAACACCCAGTGCATGTTAATTTCATTTCATTAGAACTTGTAAGCTTGTATGACAAAGAGGAAAAAAATGACAAAAATATTATTTGGAAAAGGCATGTTAGAAGATTACAAAGTACGAAATTTGAATCGGCTCCGCCTCCGTCAAATAGTGGAAGAAGGCGGGAGAACCAAATGAGTTGAAAACACATAGATGGATATGAAATGCTTGTTTGACAACTTTTCTTCGGCTTAGTTTCTTTCAATTATGAGATGAAGTCTACTTTCTTCATTCTCTTAAACATGGTTCGGCCAATGAGCAGGCGGAAAAGCTTTGTGAAGAGAAAAAAATTAAGAAAATAAGAAAAAAAAAAGAAGAAGAAAAGAAGATGAAGGAGGAGGAAAAGGAAAAGCTAAACTGAACAATGAAAAGTTGGAACATGAGTAAAAAAAGCAGAAATGGGCTAAAGAGAGGAAAATAGAGAGAGAGTGAATAAGGATACGCTGAATACACAACCGTTCAATCCGCTGCTGAAAAGCAAAATGGTAAAGTCATTGGAAACTTAGTTCACACTGAGGTTCACGTGGAGTATAACGAGGTAGGTTTCTGGGAAATGAGTTTGCTTGAAAGGCTATGCAAACACAAAGATCAGAAGTGCCAAGTAAGAAAGATAGGGGGAAATTGGAAGATGAAAATAAAAAAATTTACGTGTGTATCAATGTTCCCGTGTTTCAATTGAAAACAAAAACAAAGATAGAGAGGGTAGGACTGAGGGGGGGGGGGAAATAAAAGGAGAAAGAGGGAGAGAGGATGTCGGGAAACTGAAGAGAGGTTCAGCTAACCAGCAATTAGGATTCTTAGAGGATTTGTTTTCGGCGCTGATGACTTGGAAGGAAAGAAGGCAGTTGAAGCATATTGCTCCTTCTGAGCTGAGATAAGAGAAAAACTCAAAAAACTTGAGTTTGAATCAGATTTCTTACGTCACGACAAGAAGTTCAAATAAAAATATTTTTTTGTTGTAAAAAAAATGGATGGAGATGTGAGATTGACAATGAAGGCTATGGAGGAGGAGCTTAAATGATAGCAAGTTGAGAACCACGTAGCTTAATCTTGTGACTTACAAGAATCAACTTTAATAATTCAGGTAATTATCTGAAATTATTCTAATTTCATGCAAATTACTTAAATTATTCAACAGAGCTATGAGACGGCAGAATAAAGAGGTTGACAATCACCTTATTGGTATTGAAGGTTCGAAAATCCTAAAAAAAATATTGAAAAGAAGCAGCTTAGTTATGGAGAATATTGGAAAAGCCGGAGGGTAAGCGCGATGAAGATACCATAAACAGTCTATGTCGTAGTCCACCTACGTTCCAAAATAGGAAACGCCTTAGGACATTATATGGAAGCTAATGTTGCGAAAATGACGTAAAATGTCTCCAATAACATTTGAAGGCGAAAAACTTGAACTTGAAAGTTTTATTTTTTCTTCATTTTTAAAGGAAACGCTCAAGCATATTCAAGCTGAGAATGGAGAGAGGGAGCTAAAAGAAGGAAGAGAGAACGAGAGATATTTAGAGAGAAGAGTAGAAGAAGGAAGGAACGAAGTGGGAGAGCTTGATACACTCTCAGAGTAATTGGAATTATCCAATAATGTGGAAAATGATAAAAAAACGTTTCAGAAGAAAGGCATTGTATTTGCATAAAATTGATATTTAATGAAGTCGTACAAGAATGGGAGAGAGAGATGGAAATGGAGAGAGAGAGATAGTGAGAGTGAGAAAAAGGGGTTAAGAGATGGGGGAGAGGAGTGAGAGCAGAAAGCGGAAGCTTCGGAAAATGTTGAAAAGGCACTCTGAGTTTGTCGCTCACGTCCAGAGTCTGACACGTGTTGTTTATACGTGGTCGTTTGACAAAAAAAATTAAATTTTTGAACAAAAAAATAGAAAAAGAAATAAATTAAATGTTAAACAAACAATGCAAGTATCTGTTAAGAGGAAAACAAAAGAAAATCAATCAGAAAATGAGCGATTTAATTATGTTGAAAACGATGAAGAGGTAGAAGATGATCTAGGAGATCTAACATAAGGTTTGACAGAGAGAGAGAGAGAGGGACAGAGAGAGAGTGAGAGGGATAATCTAATGCAAGTAAAATAGGAGAAAAGAAAGTTTCATTCATTTATGAAAAAAATGGTTTTTGCCATGCCCAAAATAGCCACAAACTCAATCGTTTCAATGAACAGGAGAACTTGGCGGCAATTCACATGGAAAGTTGATGGAAACACGAAAAAACGATCTCAGCTTGTTGTTAGAATCAAGCTGTACGGTATAACCACTGGAGTTATGGGGAGGGTAGGGAAGAAGTCTTGGATATAGTATTAGAGACAAGCTGTTTTGTTCTAAGAAATAATCTCTTGAAGGAGGTAGATGGAAAGGAAGTTTGGAACAGCTCGAAGGGGAAGTAAATCGAGAACGGGTTCTGGATGCAGGTTAATCTTGAGAAAAATACTTGTTAAAGAGGTGCAAAGAAACCAAGTGGAAGGAGACGCTGAGAGTGTGATGCCGAACAAGAGTTGATTATTCCGTTGGCTGCTTATATCTCTCTTTCACACTGCACAAAGATTGAGAGAACCTTCATTTTATCATTTCGGAACAAAAAAACGTCAGACTCAGTAATGAAAGTGGGATATAGCAAAGCAGGGAGAGAGAGAGAGAAGTAGATAGAAGGTGTCCCTCATAACAAATGCTTTGACACACAAGAATTGAAGTTAAAAAAAAGGGATTCGGTTGAATAAAGAGAAATGGGAGAGGAAAGCATGGAGAGAGGGTGGCGGTGACAAATATCATTTTCCATGTTTCCACCCAAAAAAAGGCTTTCGCCTTCTACAAATTTATTTTGACAAACGTTTTCGGACGCTTCTTCATCTACAGCTCACATTTCATAAGAATTCATTTTTATTCACAAAATAATTGCAACGTGCACTAGCGAGAGAAAGAGAGAGAATGGGTAGTGGGAGAGAGAACGCATATGGGAGGGCGATGAAACAGAAGAAAAAAACAAAAATTATAAGTCAAATTGGGATGAGAAAGCAATCAAAAGATGTTTGTTGTCAATGTTAAGAGAACTTTCAAAAGTCAGATATCCGTTTGGCAACATTAATTGAAAGGATTTTAATGAGAGGTTAACATGATATCTGCCTCTCTCTCTCTCTCTCCCTATTCATCCATATATAACACTGTTTCTCTCTATCTTTCTCTCTTTCCCTTTTTCTCTGTTTTTCTATTTTTTACATTAAGGGCGCCAAAATATTATTTCCTCAGAAACATTTTATGCGTTGTGTTCTACCTTCTTTTGATAGTTTGAAAGGAAAAAGTTTCCCTGTCTAATTCTCTTTTTCTCTCTTCAACTCTCTCGTTCTTTGATGTTATTCACATACTCTTTATAGTTTACCTAGTGTAGTTTCTTTTCTTTTATCTCTCTCTTAAGCCTTCAACAAGCTCACTTTCATATCTCTAGTGTTTCTTCCTCTTTATCTTGTTCCAGAGTTATCTATTTGGTGCTGTTTGAACCTCTCTGTCTATTGCTCTCTATCTCGGTATCTGTTAATATTCGAACACATTCTCTCTCTCTCTCTCTTTTTGTGTCTCTTTTGAACTCTTTTTCCTTTTTTTAGAAGTTACTTTTTTGGGCTCGGATGAGGAAGGGGAAGTTTCTGCTTGTAAAAGAAAACATGTCGGGCAGATGCAAGACCCTCTGCTTCAACGCATGTTTGGGCTTTACTCCTCGCTAGCTGTGTGTGAACCTTATTCCCAAAAAAGGATTATTTATGGTTACAAAACAATAAAATAAAGCAAATGTGAGTGAAGTTACGATTGATTTGCTCAGTGTCGGAGAGAAGAAGAAGAAGGAAAGTTTTGTAATTTTTCATTTGAAAAAACAAACAAACACAAAGTATTAAAAAATGTTTAAAAAGGAATTTGTGTAGATGGCGAGATGAAGAAGAAGAATGAAGATTTCTTCAGATTCATGGGTTTCCAATTGTTTTTCATTTGCTTCTCAAGATTTTTCAAAATGCAACGTCATGAAATGATAAAAAATGGCAACGAGGGTGGATAACTGAAGAGCACAACGAGAGAAAGACATGGATAAAGACATATATGGTTAAAGAGAGAGCTTTTCTTATGTTTTTAAGAAGAAATGGTCAAAAAACAACTTTTAAATGCTTAGCTCTCACAGAGAGAGAGAGAGAGAGATGGAGTAGAGGGGAAACTCTAAGCGTTCAAGTTTCGTTCTGCAAATGAAGTAAGTTGGAAAAGGATTTGCTGTGGAAAAGAAGCTTGAGAGTTGAAAGCTGAAAAATCTGTGTTGAATAGATGGTAAAGGTTAAAAGGAAATCTGAGTAAAAAAAAAAGAAAGAAGTTGTTTGAATCAGAATAGGAGGAAGACAAAGCATACGAAAGAAGAGTAGTAAAGAGACGAGAAGTAAGATAGATTGAGAGGGTACGAGAAAGACAGGATAAAGGTTCAGAAAAATCTTCTTCAGATGAGCACACGGATTGTTTGTAGAAAAAAAAAGTATTTGAGAAAACAAAATGAATAAAGTGAATAGCATTAACTATACGTATATAGTTAATGAAATTATAAATGAAAATAATATAGATAAGCACACACATGAATGCAATTATGTTTTCAATTAATTATTTACTAAATCATATAGTTTACAAAAAAAAAAAAGTGAAAAGAGAATAATTGTTTTTTGTTTCTTCAATTACCAATATGACGTAGTGGGATGGTTTGTAATTTGAATGACATCACGTGTTCACGTCGTTTACGTGAAATATCCGGTCGTTCACGTGAATACGTGTCACGTGGCATCAAATAAATCTCATTTCATTCTTATAAATAATGAATACACAAAGCGGTTGCATTCTAATTTCTTGAAATAAGAAACACAAGCAAGCTGGTGAGTAGAGGTGAGGTGATTTCATGAAAACTCCCGGACAAGTCCAAAGGGACCGCGTATGCAATGGATGACAACAAAAAATGGAAAAGGTTGTTTACTCAGATGGAAACACACACACACAAATCTAACCTCTTGTTGAATTCGTCATTTATCTTATTTATATTAAAATAATTTTCATTAAATGATTAACATATTTATTTACTTTAATTTTTTGTAACTTACTGTTTGAACAGCACTAAAGATCGTTTGATAGGAGCGTCCATCATCTAACATTGCTACAACCGACGAGCAAGTTATGCTTCACAAATGCTGCATATCTACTTCTGTTCTAATGTTGGAAACAGATTGTCTCTCCATCTCTCTCTCTCTCTTTCTCTCTCTTTTTTAGTCTTTCGCAGTTTTTCAGATTGAAAATTGAAATATGTTTGGATGAGAGGCGGTGTTGCTGGTACACTCTGACGTTTCTACCATACAACGTCATTGAAACCTTTCGTTGTTCTCGAATTACTACCGATCATCTGATGATTGTTATCTTCGTGCTATAAGCTTCTTCTTCTATTTATTATATGCATGTGTATATTCTATCGATATAATTGATGAGTCATCCGATAACTAGCCGGCCCTAAAGCCTAGAAACCCGGTTTCCATGAGGCGTGTTGACGTCCTCCAGAGTTAAGAGAGAATTACAGAAGAAGACGAACACGAAGATGTCATACAGATTGACGTTGATGATGGCATCACATCTCCTTTCATTTGTCATTTTTCTCGGCATACACACACACGTTTGTCTGCACTTTCGTGCCTTCCTCATTCCATTTTTAATAATTATTTTCATTTTTTCTCATCTAGCAGTGTTTGAACGCTTCCAGCAATCGTTCCATGTTGAATGGTGATGCCAAATATGACCTGAAGGCAAATAACCACACAGTTTGTCCACAAATCTCTTTGCCATGTTTTCTTTCTAGACAAATTTTTTTCATTTGCATTTGTTCATTTGCTCCTTCCTTACTCTGAGCAATCTGATTCTCTTTTGAACCGCTTCTCCAATGCACGTCTCTTTTACCCAATCATAGATATGTTTGTGAAAATCAAGCAATAGCCTCAACCGTAGACCGGTTCCTGCTCTCTGAAAACAGTTCACTCTTTCCGTTATTCTCTCCTTGTCATTCGTTCTATTTCCAGAGATGTGTTTGATTCTTCTTTCAAAATCTTGGTTCAGTCCATTCATTCATTCCCTATCTCTCTTACCTCTCTTCGTTATGCAATCTTCCATCAGAGAGGTAGACTGTGAGCAAATCTATTCTTTCACAACGCAAGGTACAATAGCAAGCGATTTGCACAAAATGAGAGAGCGAGAGAGGTAAGATGGACTCCGGAAAACCAACTTCAGAGGATTCACTAAAGAGATGCAAGACGAAGAAACGGCGAGGAAGAAGCCGTTCTTTTCATAGTTCGCTTGTGAAAAAGCGAATAGTTCAACGAACTCTTCGTTGAGTTCTTCTTACCATCGACTTCAATTATCATCTTTTGAGCTTTTGTTTCCTTCTCTCCGCTATCTCCAAGACTGTACCCTTTAGTTTAACCTCGAAAAATAAATTAATTTTCGTCGTCGTCTTCACACATTCAGTCGCCAACCTGTCTCTGTTTTGTTAACTATAAATATATATGTATTTTCCTAACCCAATCCCATATTGCTAAATGGTGTTTTAGAAAGATAGAGAGAGAAAGAGAGAGAGAGAGAGAGAGAGAAGAGAAGAGATTGTTTGAACGTTGTCGTCTCCACCCAGACAGGTTGCAGATTCCTAGTGGCTTCATTGATTTTTCAATCGAAAATCATCAGATGGTCATTATATTAACTGAGATAAAATACAAACTCTCTCTCCATATCCTTTTTGGAAGTCCTTTTCAAATTTTATTTAAAACGTTTACACTACCACGTTTACCTTGTATTGATTTCTACAGAAGTCGGTATGACTTCTGACGTTGTGTCCCGTTTGTCGTCGTTCATGTGATGTCCTCCAACAATCTTTGATAACACAAAAAAGCCGTTGACGGAGGCGGAAAGTAGCAAAGAAACGTCTCACTATTGAAATTTGAAAATAAAACAAAAAAAGTAAAAATTCGGAGAATTTAGAGGAAGTTCCTCAACTTCGAACAACCTTTCGATGATTTTTTGTGTTAAGCAGCTTACGGTGTTGACGATCTGCTGATTCATTCAGAATTCTTCTATTTCTGCATATTATGCTCATCCATGCACCTTTGGCCCTCAGGTACATACGGATGAACTATTTTTATTTTTTTCTTCAAATAATTTATCTTTATGAATCGATTACTGAACGCAAATAAAATTCTCATAAGTGGTCGCTAAACTGTAGAAATGAGTTGTTTGTTCACTTTTCCAATCAAAAAACTTTCCTAAAATTTTTTGATTTCACATAAACCACTCTCAATGAGAGAATTCCAGGTGAAGCAACGTATACCCTTTTTCCCTTGTTTCATCTATCCGTTCCCTTCTATCTCTATGTAAGTAATACAAATGAAACTCGTACTGTTTGACATGTTTTCTTGACTTCTCAATGCAGCTTTTCCTCCTGTACCCAAACAGATTCCTTGTTCCGAAAAAATCATCCCGGAAATAGCGAAGCAACATCTTCACTGCTCTACCGTCAAGAAAGAAGATAACTCAAAGACAATTTCGCGCTTCCAGCCCTTGGAAGGTTTCGTCTGTCACCATTTTCCGTTTTGAAAGACTTTTTTTTTCACGTATTTACACAAGTTCGGCTTAACACTTATCGTTTTGTGTGAAAATTGATTTTTTTGTTTCTCGCATTAGATTCATCGAGTTCATCTCCACATTCTTCTTCACATCTTTTTTTTTTCGTCTCACTTCAACTGCCACCAGAATTGAAAAGATTAAAATCATTTTAATCATTTTTGGCAATCTTTTGGAACTTTTTTTCTCGTCTAATCTGGAAACTGTTGATTAGTGAGGTTTTGCTTCTTTTTTTTTCAAAAATCATTTTTCCTTCTTTGTAAATCCTGTGAGAGGCAGTGGTCGATCTGTGGTGCCAGGTTTTATGAGCATTATATTTTAATTCGAGGACAGAATCAAAGTAATTTTTGCCAATTATCGACGTGTCCTATCCATATATACATGTACGTTTCAACAATCTCTTGCTTTGAACTCTAGTACGGTAGTTGAACATGAAGATTAACCCCCTCACTCTCTCTGTCTCCTTCTCTCTCTCTTTCTCTTTCCTTCACTCCGAGTTTACAACTTCCTTTACCCTATCTCTCTCGTCCTCTCTTTCTCTTTATTCTTTGTTTGTTGTTATCTCTCTCTCTCTCTCTATTTTATAAAATAATCCATCAGAACAATGCTCATCATCAGGCGAATGATCAATTCGCATAAGGTTGAGTTGTTTGGAAGTTTGCATGTGTGCGTGTATGTGTGTGTGTGGAAAGGCGAAAAAAAAACTTTTTTTTAATATCTTTTTCATCCTCTTTTACCATCTATTAACTTCTGAACCCGACTAGATGATGTTTCCATCAGTTAAGAGAAGAAAAAAAAAAGAACAAAAACGCCGTTTTGTTCAGTTTTCTTTCCATTTACAGGAATTTTCAGTTAAGTGATTCGTCCAACTAATTTCATTCTCGTCCATTAAATCTGTCGGAACTCACCAAACTTTCTGACGTCAATGTCCTTTTCATTCTCGTAAAAAGATAAAAAGAAAATTGCAATATTATTCTAAACTGTTTGATCGAATGCGGTCACATCACTTGTTGTCTTCTTGTTTTCTGTTTATGTGCTGAAACCCTTTTCCATCATCTTACATACTGAATCGTTGGTTTTACAGATAAAGTCTGATACTCCATATCCTTCTATATGAGCTAAAATAGGGGAGAATCCATGAGACATTTCGTTATTCTTTTATTTTTCCTTCTCAAATCTGTTAGCTCACAATCTTTGGCACCAACTCAAGTATGCGTACTACGTTGTACAGCTACATGTCTTCACAACTCTGTAAGTTCGCTCATCTTAGTCATAGTTACTCTTGTCTTATAGAATGATACTCCAGAAGCTTGTCAGTCCACTTGCACAAAGTATAATTCGCCAACTCTCTGTGTAAGTTATATATCTCTAGATAATCATTTATATACTATGATTTAGTCGACACAGTCATGCTGGGACAGTTGCAACGATCTTGGTGCTGGAGTAGCTGTTAACGCTACACCGTCGGTGATTCAAGTTAATGGGAAGAAGGTTATATTTTATATAGTTCTTCTATATGTAACAAGATGTTTTCCAGTTAACATGGCAGAAAGTAGCTGACTCACCCCTCTCTGTCATCTCTTTCAAAACAGTTTCAGCCAACAACTTCGACCCCAACGATATACTGGTAAGTATGTAAAAGACGTTTCTCCGAATACTCTCACTTGCAGTTGACATCTAATAATTCCATAAACTTTTTCGATTTTCCTGGTATCTCTCCATGTGATTCAATCGATATCAGGTGAGCTCCCGACAACAACATTACATAACTTCTGAATTATAGCATTGCTTCCGTATTTCCGAATGGAGTTTCTCCTTTTTCGCCAATCAAACAGATGGAATCGCCTAAACCAGCAGTCTCGCCTAAACTCTCTCTGGAACAAATGGTTTATGAGGTTAATTAGCTTAAATCACGAATATTAAATTAAACCCATTTTCAGAACAAAGAATATGTCAATGATTTCTATAAAGCAAACGGAACTATACGAGTTGTCTTCCGGTACTATCCTGAAGGTGAGCAATGATTATTGATTGATTTCTCAAAAACCATTCGGCTCATTTCTTCACGTGAAAATGACGTGAACTCGGACACGTGTGCGCGATTACACGTCTCAGATTGTAATTTTATTTGTTTGACAGTAGCTTAGCGGTCGATCTGTAAAGAAGTCGAGCAGACAAGTTGTTTAACAAATGCTCGTGTATTTACTTATCCTTTGATTTTTTTCGTGCTTCTAATCACAATATTATGGTCATCTTGAAATTTGCATAATTCCAGAATGGCCATTGGGAATCGACGATCTCGTTGTTGAACCAATGTTCCATTTGATTAACTGTGTCGAGCCAGACTTGAGTCAAGGAATGCCGATGCCCGAATTTGTATGTTCTCATAATAATCCTCATCTTGTTCATGATAACATCATTTAGACTTCCGGCCCAAACAATACACTCGTTGGATTTGTTGGATCGGATATGATGTATAGGAAATGCCGCTTCCTCTACTATGCTCAAGGTGTTACGAGCGCGAAATGCGATTCAACCACATACATTCATTCTCCATCTCCTGAAGCCATGCAGACCTTGAACATAAGTAAGTGAACTTATGTTGACCATCTACTTTATATAAATAATTATAGATTGTGACACAGTTGACAAAGCTCCTTGTACTCGTGTGGAGAGATATCAAGCACCAATCTGTGGACAAGTAGATGATATTGAGTATCATGTAAGTCTATCCTGATTATCAAGAACTGCTGAACTACATTTTTAAGGCAATGGATGAAAATTTATCACCCAAAGCTTCGAACCTGACATTGAATGTCACATTCACTCCGAATTCGCGAGCAAACGAAGAGCCAACAATCTATGTAGTGGCATTCTACGGTAACGCTACAACATATAAGACGAAAGAAGAAGTAAGTTGAATAAGTTTTCTTTATAACAAAATATGTTTAAAGGAAACCTTCTTGGGTGTCAATATAACACATTTGATGGGAAACACAAGTAACTGTCAACAGTTCACCAAAGAAGGCTATTGTGCGGTTCGTATACAACTTATGAATTGAAATGATATTTTGATATTTCAGCATGATGTAACTAATACTGTATTCATCAATCAGATTGATATGGACAAGTTATATGGAGTGACGTTCTGTGCCGTCAAAGATCCGCGCAACTTAACTTTTCCTGATTTTCTTGTTGATGTGAAGGCATTAAGACCAAAAGCTAACAGTATCTTCGTAAACTCGAAAGGTATCCATTAATCTTCATTTATACTATTTATTTAACTAATTACAATTGTTTAAAGATTATCAGAAGAACTACACTCCCGTTATAATTGGTTCGATCATTGGTGGAATGGCTTTATTGATAATCATATCATTGATTGGATTTTACTGTCTCTTTGTCAAATATCGTCATAAGAATAGAAAACTTGGATTGGAGAATTCTCAGTTGAAGCTTGAACGTGGAAACGAATACACTGACTTCCCTCAAGCGTATGCCTGATTCAATTCTATAATTAGTTCAAAAATTTGGATTTCAGGGAAGAACATGATGATTGGGAGATTGACAGAGCTCTCTTGATAACAGATGAAGACAGAAAACTAGGTTCTGGAGCTTTCGGTTCCGTTTTCGCTGGTAAATTACAAATGCAAGTAAAAGCGTTTAATTGTATCTAATTAGGACGATTGCTTGGAACACCACCCGGATACACTCATGCTTTGTCTTCTGCATTAGTACGTAACATGATGGTAACGGAGAACCAGGAGGTTTGGTTGTTCAGAAAGTGTGATCATGAATGTCTTGTTTAGGTAGCCGTTAAGCGCCTTCCAGAATATTCTGATGACAAGTCTCGTGAAGATTTCATAAGGGAAATAGAATTGATGAAAAGACTCGGATATCATGAACGCTTAGCCAACTTAGTTGGTTGTATTGCCAAATCTGAGCCATTATGCTTAGTTATGGAATACTGTAGTGATGGAGATCTGTTGCATTTCCTATCAGATCGATGCAAGTACATGATGGATGTAAGTTTGAAGTCAAAGTATACCTTACATGACAAAACTGTTTATAGCTGGATGAAAGAGGAGTCAATTATCAAGATGGACCAATTGATGGCAACTACGATCTCTCAATGATTATCACAATGAAACAACTTCTGATGTTTTCAGTTCAAATTAGTTATGGATTGGTGAGTTGTATCGAAATCTTATGTGGATATACAATTTTCCTGTACAGGAATATTTGAGTCAAAAAGGTTTTGTTCATCGTGATGTCGCTGCGAGAAACATATTGGTGCACGACAGGAAATTCTGTAAAATCGGAGATTTCGGATTGTGTCGTTTCATGAGATCTGAGAATCCTCATTACAAGTGCAAGGTGACACATTTATGAAAAAAAACCAATTTTAATGATGAAACTATTTGAAGGGAGGGCGCCTGCCATTGAAATGGATGTCACCCGAATCTATCCGGCACTATGATTTCTCTACAAAGAGTGATGTGTATGATATCCAGTCTTATACATAGTTTGATCACGTACTTGTTTTAGATGGGCTTTCGGTATATTGCTGTTCGAAATAATCACATTAGGAGGAGCTCCATATCCAGGCATTAAGATGGATGAGCTTCTTGGATTTTTGGAAAATGGTGGACGTATACCCCAACCAGACAACTGCCCCAATGAATTGTATGATCATTTTTTAAATCAAATTCTAATTAGAGTCCATTGAAGTTATGACGTCATGAGAGAATGCTGGTTGGCAGATGCAACGAGAAGACCAGATTTTGGTGTATTGAGGCAACGATTAGCTAAGCAATTAGAAGATGTAACAGAGGAATACAGTTACTTACGATTAGATGCTCAAAAAGATTATTACAACGTTCATGGCAATGAGATTGTAAGTTCATGCTTAACCATTCACCTCATAAGATATATCTCTTCAGCCGGACATCATTCTTATTCCTGAAGAAATTCCGGAGAAGCGTGCTCTATCCACGACTTCAACTACAGAAACAGAAGCCATGGATGACATAGAAAATGAGAAAGAAAACAGTCGTCGAGAAATTACATTATCTATTAATGATTTATTGCCGGAGGGGACAGAAAAAATTGAATTACGGTAACAACATTACGGTACAACAACGCATAATAATCAAGGTATAATGATACACGGGATATGAACAAAATGATTTTAATGTATATAATATATAATATATAGTTAAGATATTGTTAGACGTACAGAACGGTTGAATTTGTTTCTCTGTATTCACTACTCTCCTACTCTCTCTCTCTCTCTCACTCTCTCTGTCTCTCTCTCTCTCTCTGTTTCTTTCGTTCTCTGTCCTTCTATCTCATCTCTTCATACTCAATTCATTTTCTTTAACTAAGTCTTATCCATGACAGTTTTTCGTCAAAGTACAGTATTGCTCAAACTTTTAAAATTTTCAAAGTGTTTGTCCAAGCTTCTTGCAATACGACATAGGGTCTCATCAGAATATTTGTAGATAATTGTGATTTTCATTTTTTCTTGTTTTTTATTTTGTTTGTTACAATTGAAAATGAATGATTCAAATTTGTGCTCGTTACTTCTGACGATTCATATCTTAGGTTGAATAAGTACTGGATGTCGGTCTTATTGCAATGCGTTACGTCACGTCTTCACATTGAATATTATAGATCAGTGGTAGATCAATTGTGATCAGTCGTATTTATTTACAAATAAATGAGTATAACATATAAATCATAAAAAAAAGTAATTAGTACTAATTGTGTTGGAATGCATAACAGATAACGTCATTTGTAGAAGTTTGGCAGAAGATCTCACTTCGAGCCACGTATGAGAAGTCTTCTCGAGAACAGAAAACAGAGAACAAACCTTGAACATTCAACAATTACTGTTTTATTCAAAAAATATATACTAACCTCCCATTTCTTCTTCAGCTTTCTTCTGTATTAACCTCTTTGATAGAGCAGCAGTTTGTGTGGTAGACTGAAAATGAAGAAAGTGATATCTAAAGGACGAGTGCCAATCTCACCTTCACCATGATATCTCTGAGTTGTTCATCCGAACATTTGGGATCTTTCTTTGAGTATTCAGCTTTCTCGTTAATAGGGCTGAAAGACTTTCCATCTTGCGTTTTTGTTCCGTGCATCTGATGAAGGTATGTTCAGACTTTTGAGAGGGAAGAGTCGAGTTATACCTTGAATCGACATGGAGCTCCACATCTTCCACAACAATCATTGATTGGACGATAATAAGTTCCGTATACGTTTGGAGCTGGAGTTGGAGGAGGGAAAAGTGGTTCTGCGTGATTATTTGTTATTTTCAGATCAGTATAAGAAACATACGAAGAGGAGGTAGAGTGGGGAAAGTGAAAGGAGGCAAAGTAATTGGCGCTGGTGTTGGTGGTGGAGGAGCTATGTATGAAATTGGAGTTACATATCCTCGAGGCATATAAGGAGTTGGTCTGAGGTATTGAGGTGGGAGAACAGGACAGCCTTAATAAATGGATTTTTGATTAAGTATAGTTTTGTTAACCTGCTGGAAGAAGTGGATGGGGTCTGTACGGCATTGGTCTTGGGAGATATGGATCAGGAATATATTTCTCACGAATATATGTAGTTTGATTGACTGGTGGCTAAAATCATATCGTTTATGGAGAAGTTGGAAAGGAAATTACAGTGACTATAGGAACTGGAGTATTGCTCTCCCCTTCATCTACTTTAGGTTCATATCGTTCATAAATCTTGAATTCAGGAACATATATGAAGTTTAATCAGTGTTCTTACCGAAGCCTTGTTGTCAACTAAAGGAGGAACAGTAGTCAAGTCTTCATCGACTTGAGCTAAGACATTTGGAGTTGGTGGTTGAGCATATCCTCCTGAGATAGCAAGAATTAAGAATTCCTTCTATCTTCTGATTTACCTGTGTAGTAATAAGATTGTTGAGGTTGGGCAGGTAAAGGCTGTTGTGGGTAGGCTGCTTTGTATGGTTGAGGCTGAGGTAAAGGTTGAGGTTGAGGCAGTAGAGGTGGCTGTGGAACAGCATAAGGCCGATATCCCCCGCACATTGGCATCCCACATCCGGGGCTCTGGGAAGAAACCATAGGCATAATAAAGAGGAAGAGCATTGAAGAGATCAACGTCATCCTGAGACTGAAATAAAGTTGAAGTTCAGTTCGACGATGTTTAAGAAAAAAAATTTGAAATGCAATTTGGATGGGACTGTAAACCGAATGATCAAATAGCAAATGAGAAAAAGTAGGAGGAGATTTAAGGTGGAGTATGATCATGTAAAATCTTTTTGAAATTGAACGGCTTGTCAGGAAATCCGGAGATTGCATACATTCTAGTTTTCTAGTCATATAAAGCAGTCAATGCTTTAAACCTTGACTCCCACATCTCTGTTCTTTTACATCATACCTTCTTATTCTCTCTCTATTTTTTTTTTGCATTCTCATTCTCTCTTATGCATCTCAACACGCCTCCAGGCATTCCGGTCTTTTTTAATCCGTTAAAGGACGGATTTTCGTAAGGTTCGAAACGATGAGAGGGTAATTAGCGAGCGCTGACGCTCCTTCACCTTAGGCAAAGGCAGATGACGTGAATGCTATGAAGTAAAGGAAGTTTTATGCTCTTAGCTTTATAATATCTTTTTTTATACTCAAGTATGGCGTATAGAAAAAAGAAAAGTGCCTTGAGTATTTTGATTTTGAACTTGAAAATAATATTTCTGTATAGTCTCTCTCTTCGTTTTGATTATTAGAGGTACACAAGAGAGAGAGAGATTGAGAGAGAGGAAGAGGAATTTGGCGTAACATAGCAATAAAGAGAGAGATTGCATAATTACATGAGAGATGATATACTCCGAACATCCTAGTACAAGATGCAAATTCGGAAGAATGTCCAGTTATAATCGGCAAAATCAAGTCATCTTTACTGAAATGACAATGAGTTCCGTCATGTTATTGAAAAGCTTTACAACCTTCAGAACGGGTGGATTAGCTAGTGTTGTCCATTTCAGGCGATCAGTCGTAGGATGACAGCTAACTGTTGGCAACTGGTCTTAAACCAACTCCTCTACATTTCCATTTGAGTCAAGTTTGTAATCTCTGCTGTTCTTACCATATTTAGTCAGTCAGGAGTAGCTTTGGTTTGTATAATCGCCGGGCCGCTGCCGGGGATTGTCTGGATATCAGGTTAAAATCAAGCGTCCTAGCAGAGGTTTAAGCTTCTTAAGACGAAATGCCTTTTGTGAACTGAAGGACATGACGATTACAGGTCGGAACAAGCTTCTCATACAAATGACATTGACAGAAACATATGAAAATAACAAAAAAAAGTTTTACAATGAACATGAAGCCAAAGTCTGACTTTCTCGAACTGAAATGCAAAAAAGCTGAAATAGAATCTCGATGGAGATGATGCAATTTGATGAAACGGCAAAGAGAGTCATCATTTTTTCAAAATATCAACCGGCTTTGTAATGAATGCACACTCGCTTCCGTTTAAATTTCAGGTCGAACTTCGTGAACTCCAGTAGTCCTTCTCGACAGTCTCGCAGCCATGTCACACGACTATTGTTCTGATTTTTTTAAAACTAAATTTTAATTTTTGAATGAATACATTTCAGTGTTTAGCGGTAACAAAGGCATTTATGGATCAAAACGCCGTATATGGTGGGGTTATGGCATTCTCAGCCATAGTGCTCTATGGCTCATGCTATCTTCCTGTTCGGTGGTTTGAAGCGAAAGATGGTATAATGATTATATCACATTCAGTTATGCTGTTAGCATATCTCTTAAGGAATATTTTTCCAATGGCTTATGAATATTGGACAGTTCTTGGTTGGAGTCGCAGTTTACATTGCATGTGATTGTCCACCTTTCGAACCCCTTTCCATGCTTACAGGAGTTCAATTTGCTATTGGTAACATTGGCATCATACAGCTCTTGAATATACATGTGTTCAGGTAATGGCTTAACAGTTTTCATTATGGATGGTGTCGGAATGGCTGTTGGTGTTCTATTATGGAATACAGTTTGTTGTGTCGTTGGGTGGGCAATTAGTCGTTTTGGCTTATTTGGCACTCCACAATCAGTTCCATATAACAATCTGCTAAACATCATAGGGGTAATCGGTGTATGTATAGGGTAAGATGAACCATTCATGGAATAAATCAAAAAGAAAAATGATCTCAGAGGTGCATTCTTCGCTCCCATCAGACATCATCCGATGAAAGTGCGTCCTGCACCGGCACAGGTATGTCCTATTACCATACTGCTGAAAGTGAATCATTTGAATATTGGTTTGATTCTAAAACGTAACAGAAGGAGAGACCAAAAATATTAATGAATTTGTTAGAACGGGAGGCAAAGGAAGATGCTGGATCAACACAACCGTTCTGTACAACTGCTTGAGAATGAGTGAAATTAACGCTATGCAGCGGAATAGACTCACGTAATTTTCACGTAGAAAGGCAAATTTGCATAAATAATGCAATAGATGACAAATAGCATTAGCTGAGATAGAAATATGTTATTTACACACAACATTTTGTATGTTTTCAGTATCTTATTGAAGATGGAGAGAAAACATCAACACCTAAGTATCCGTCGACGTCACGGAGAGCATTGTACGTGCAGCATGCCATCTTTCAGTTCAATCTCATACTAATCATATGTTTATAACTATAGGTCAATTGCTTTATGCTTATTCGTTGGATTTCTATATGGAAATATGGTTACTCCCATCAATTATGCTATTGGTACTATGCATATCATAACTTTCAACAATTTTTTTTCTCATAGCCAACGGAGCTAATCCGCATATGCATAATCATTTCTTCGCAAGTACAGTTGGAAGCTTATTCACATCAACATTCATCTTTGCAGGCTATGGTCTCTACAAGTAAGCATGCATACCTGCAAACAGCATTTTCAAACTTTTGTTTCCAGAAAAAACCGTCCATTCATAAATCCGGAATTAGCATTACCGTCGTTACTGTCCGGGTTAATTTATGGAGCAGCTACCTGTTGTATGCTTGCTGCCATTGAGCATTTAGGACAGGTAAACATGATTCTTTCGACTACTGCAACACGCAGTGACTTTCGAAAAGCAGTATGTGTATTCCGTTTACAGATTATCGCGTATCCCATTATCTCCAAATCACCTGGAGTCGTAGCTTCATTCTGGGCAGTTTACTTGTTCAAAGAGATTCGCGTACGCAAGCAGACTAATGAGAAATGCTATTGCTTGTTTTCAGGGGAAGAACAACTTTCTCATGCTCATAGTAGGAATAACAGCAACAATTGGAGGCGTGATTATTATTTCTCTCTCAAAAGTCCCATTTTGAGAATGTTTTTTTCTTTAGATGCGAGCTCATCTAAGAAAAAAGAGACCAACTGAAAAATTATTTCAAAACGCAAACTCTCAAATAAATATTCGAAATAATCTTGTTCATAGTCAGTGAAGTCAGAATGCAGTTGGATAATCTCATTTCCATTCATTGAGCGAAAACGTGTTTAAACCTTTTTATGGTTATGAAACCAATCATGTCAGCTACTAATAATTGAAATCTGGCCCTCCCTTGCAAACTCGCAAACAAAAACACTTTTTTAAAAAGGATATTTATAAAACATTTAAAAAAGAAAACTATAAAACATTCGAGTGTATGGGAGAAGATAGAAACTAATTACAAGACTATATTTTACAGAATTAGCAGAAGCATCGTCCAGTGTTACATGGGAGTCCAAGGCAATCGGAAGAAGCGGTTTCCTTTCCGCACTTTTGAACGTTGCAGAGCTTAGAGAAGGCTTCGAAAGAGTCGGTGAATCCATTCTTAACGTGGGCCTACAAATAAACATTAATTAGTGAAATTCTCAAAACAAGATCTTACAGTGAGACAATCGCACATTCCAGTTGTAGCGTTGCAAGAGTTCTTGAGTCCTCCGCAATCAGTGTGGGTTTCGCATCTAGACAGATCAAACAATTTTTTTCACGGATTATCAAACTCACTTCCAGAAGTTGACGCAAGAGTTGCAGTTGCAAGTTCCGAGGAAAGCTCCGAGGCATTGTCCACCGTTGCAGTCTTCGTTATCGTAACAGATAGAGAGAGTCTCGCATTTCTTCTCATCAGCAGCACCGGATCCCTGCAATATCAGTGTAAACTGAAGTACAAGCTACATTGTTTTATACCTCAAGCTCTTCGATTTCTTTCTCAATAACTTCAACTTCTTCCTTGAGCTCATCAACATTCTCAGAAATGTCCTTGGCTTGCTCTTCGATGGTTAAAGCCTCCTTCTCGATTTCTTCAGCAGCTTCCTCAAGACGTTTGGCAGCATCATCTTCGGTGGTTTGGGTCTCTTCGGTGTCTCTCTTCATACGGTAAGCATTCTCGACGAAAAGTCCAGAACCTTCAACTCCTGATCCTTCAACAACAACACCGGATCCTTCCTCAGCGAAAGGATAGGCAGAAACTAAAACAGTTTCCAATGAACAAAACAATGAAAAATGAAAACTTACCAGCCAAAGCCAAAACAACAAGAGCCAAGAACTTCATCATGTTTGTTAGACGGTAAATATTAGTTATAAAACACTTGATTGGTTATAAAATGTAAGATGCCTATTAACCGAATCGCTTCCCTTATATAGTGCTCTGGTAGATCAAATGTTGGCGGCAAGTGCTATTTTCAGTCTATCATTTGATCAATTGATCTATCAGTCTACTGTATTTCTTTTTTTCATGACTGATCTTTGATAGATCGAACATGAAAAACATTATCTCGGAAATTGCTCAAAATTTTTTTAAGCTTTTCCCTCTCGTCTTCTGCTGGGAAACATGAAGGGAAGAGAATGATCATCTAAGCACATGTATAACAGAAAAAATGAAAATGAGAATTCATCAGACAAAGATCTCCCAATTATTAATGGAATGAATATTTTGAAGGAAATAAAAAGAATTTAAAAGATCTATAGAGATTGAAGCTTCTGCAGAGTTCCATCTTTTTTGTATTCAAAGTGTTTTGTCGGAATCTCTCATTTCATCTGCAGTGTCTACCTAACATTCCCACTCTGTTCCCACTTGTCCCTCCTTCTCTATCACTCTCGTTATTCCGCTCTCTTAACCACGCATATCACTGATAAATGAAAGAGTATGGAATATACCTTCTTTCTCCCCCTCTCTATTCTCTGTCTGAATTAAAAGGAATTGACGATTTATAATTTTTGATTTCATTCATTTTTAACCAAATTAAGGATGATTTCATATGCCACCATATGATCTGGACACTCTTGTTAGACCAAAAAGTTTCGTTTATTGAATTGAATCCAAGAGATGAAGAGATAGAGAGAGAGTTCTAAAATCAAATTTTCTTCTTCTACATCACTTTTTAAATCCATATTTCAAACTTCTATTCCAAAATTAACTTTTTTTGTGACTCCTTATGACGTTCAGACTACTACAACTGCCACAAGCATCCATGTGGGTTCTATGGACGGTGTCCACGAACACACATTTTTGATCATTGTTTTTGCAATTTTTTTTCTTTTTTTCCATAGACTTTCTATTTTTTTCTTCTTCATGAATCTAGGTTGAGTAGGAAAATAACAAATTCGTTTTGGTAAGCCGTTTGACGTCCTCTCATTACCATCTGAACCATTCTGTCTGCTGCTCTATCAAACACATCAGTTTTTGCTTTCTCTGGTTTTCTTTGATCATCCTCCCATACCTCCTTCATAAGATTATATAAATGATGAACTAATTCACAGAGGCCCACATGCCAAGAATGGCCGAGAAAGATTTGGTTGTTGATGTAGCTGCTACAGGCTTTATGTGTCTTCTTTATGTTGTACTAGGTAAGGACATGTTTCATAGAGCATATTGAAATTCTTTCATTTCAAGGATTCGCCGCATGTTTCTGTAATATTCTCAATTTAACCATTTATGGTACAAATAAAGAACTCAGAAAGAAATATTTGTACATGATGGCGTTAGATGCCGGAGAGCTTGTTAACGGTATTATATCTTATTAAGTGTTGAGTTATTTTTAATCTTAGGCATAAGTTATATCCTTGTTGGCTCTGGCAGAGGTTTTGGATTGATTTTCGGATACATCACTGTACCAATCACCGTTTACGAATGTTATTTCAGGGTGAGGATTGAACTTCATTATTGAAAATGCTCTCTTCATCTATTTGACTCAAAAATTCTTTGACTTCTTTCGAAATTCTATGATTAACTAACTCAATATCATATTCAGCATTATTGGGTTCATTCCCTCATTTTGGGGACTGAGTTGCCAGCATATTGCATTGTCCTCATCTCTGTGGAAAGAATGTGTGCAGTCCTTCGTCCAGCAGCTTATAAACGAATCTTCGAGGGAAAATATAAATTTTTCATTTTGTTGAGTGTTCCATTCTTAGGAACTGTAAGTTCCAAAATATTGCAAGGTGTATAAGTATCCATCTGTTAAGACATCTGTCATTGTGGCTGGAGCAAGTGCCATTGTGGATGGCAATAGACTAGTTTCCACTCAGCACTGTCCCATCATCTCAAGCACAGCTATCTGGTAACACTCTGCTAATCAAGTAACATTTGAATAGTAAAATGATTATAGGTATTCAACATATCATTTTGTGGCCATCACAGTAGTCTATGTTCTTTCCTTCTTCTCATTATCCATCATCAAGTACAGAACACGAGTAAGAATTTGCTGATTCTTTTCTTTTTTTTCATTTCTGCTTACTTATCGAGGAAAAATTTTGTTTTCTCAGAAGTATGCTGGTGTACGCAGTGAAGATTTTCGAATTGGAATGATGCTTGTCATAACAGGTATAATCATGTGAATTTGAAACACGAACAACTTCCATCCTATGATAGGTGTAAGCATCATCCTAGTTGGCAGCTCAGCGTTTGTTATGATAACTATACGATGGAATCTGTTATCATATTCCGATATTGCTGTTTCATTAACATATTCCATGCCGGGGTAGGTATAATCATTCTAATTAGAATATTAATCCAGTCTCACAACATGAATGATGTACCGTGAAAAAATTCACGTGAAAAACGTCACGTGTTGTACTTTATGCGAAAAACCCACTTTTTCGAACTTTCACATATTTCTTATTGTCTAGTTGTTGTTTGGCTGTGCATAAAATGATTTCCATGATCACCTGAAGCTTTATCAATCATTCATAATTGCAGATTTCTTTCAATCGTCAATACCGTTGTCAACCTGACATTCCGCAAAGAGCTCAAACAACAATTTCTTTACTTGTTGGGTAGAAGGTTAGTTTATTTATAACTTATTTGGTCATTTGTATCATTTTTAACTTTCAGACAAGCCAAGGCGGGGTTCAATACAACAACTGTCGTCATGACTATTGCTCATCATACAAGTCCGAGTCAATCAACAAAGCCATCACAACATTTCTGAAATTTCCATCTTTGGAATGCATGTATTTTGACAGCCAAAAAACTCTTTTTTTTTTCAATTTTGTTTTCAAATCAGATTGTTTCCCTATTAGTTATCAGTTTTCGAACTTTTTTCTTTTCGCAAATGTAATTTGGCAAGCGATCATTTCATTATCTGTAATAACCATTGGCACATGTTCATCCAGTTTATCCACTTTCCCTATGCTCTATTGATATAGTTTCATATTTTATAATAGTTTATCATTGTGAGAGATTTTCTTTCTTTGATAGTTTCTTTAGAGGAGATATAGAAGTGTTTATACTCTTGAAGTTAACCAATAAACTATCTTGTCAACCAATGTTCACATCATTCTAATTAAACTCTTTCTCTTACTCTCTCATTGTTTAACACTATCAACTTACCTTGGCCAAAAGATGAATGTGAGCTTTTCGTTTTCGAAAACCTCACTAATGATTTATGGAAAACAATTTTCATAAATGTTGAAACCCAAATAGGAATCTGTTGCTTACATAGCAAGCATACACTATATGTGTTGCTAATGGAAGATATTCAAATTTCATCAGATTCCAATTCATCCGCATTTGAACCTTTGCTCTGATTCATTTTGATTTGCCCATTGAGAAGATTAGAAATATCATTTTCATTATCAAACTATCTTGTAATTTAGAAATTGTTTGCATTTGTATGGAAAGAGATCTCTCGTTCACATATTCGCAACCGAGCATCTCTTTTCAATTTTCATTGAGTTCTCAGAAATTTTCTTAAAAATTACAATTTTCTATCAAAAATGAGCTACTGAAGAAGGTACTTGTGACTTTTCTTTTGCTCATCTGAATATAAAAACATATGACTGAAAGATTGAATGAGAGAGATCAATGAGATACTCTTCATATAAAGAGATTCTGATACCAAAATACTCCCCCCCCCTCTCTCTCCCACTCATGTATTAGACGTTGCCATTGGAACATTAACGTCTCTTGTGATCTTGTGAGATAATCTGTTATTACTCATTCTTCATATTTCGCAAGCTACTATCTGTATCCATTCTAGAATTATAATAAAAAGATTGATATTATAGTGAAAGCATCTGGATGAGCACTATGACCGATCTAGAGGTTAACATCCTATCTACTGGATTCATGTGCATACTCTACATCGTCTTAGGTAACTCATATTTACATTTTATATAATTTACTTGTTATTTTTAGGATGCATTGTTTGTTCTTTTAAAATTCTCAATATATTATTGTACTGTTCGAAGAAGACCCTTTTCAACAAGTATACGTATATGGTTGCTTTAGAAGTTGGAGATTTCGTAAATGGTAAGATCTCATTCCATCATTCATTCTTCAATCCATATCTCTCTCTTTCTGTTTCTCACTCTATAGCTGTTCACTTCCTTATTTGACTCTTTTTTGAGCTTTTGTTTTCTGGTAAATGATCAAACTCATCTATTACAGGTATTAGCTATGTATATTGTGGACTTGGGAGAGGTTTGGGACTGTGGTATGGCTATATCAGAGAGCCAACTACACTTTATGATTGTTTTTTTGGAGTAAAAGACTTATTATGAGATCGGATACCATGATAGCTATTCTTTATAGCATTACTGGGTATTTCTATTAATTCTGGGAACAGAACTACCTGCTTTCTGTATTATTTTGATATCGTTTGAAAGAGTATTAGCTGTTGTTCGACCAGTAACGTTTATGAAACTGTTTGACGGACGTTCCAAGTACCTCATTCTATCATTAGTGCCTATATTAGGATTGGTGAACAAGAAATTAAATATTATAATCATTTCATCTAATTTACAGATATCTATATGTGTAGCAGGCATAAGTGCATTTCAGGATGGTGAGCGAGTCGTTAGTACCCGTCACTGCCCAATCATTTCCAGTACTTCAATTTGGTTTGTTAATTTAAATTTTATTGAGAAATTAAACTTTCAACGAAATAAAAAGCCATGTGAGTTGTTAGAAGGAGATTGAGTTCAAAGAAGAATTTGATAAGCGATAACATTCTTGAACAAAAAAAATATTTTACATAAACGGAGAGTGGAGAGACAGAGAGATGAAGAGAGAGAACAAGCTAGAGATGAAGTATGCCATCAAAAAGAAACGGAACCTAATTTCCAGTAAAATAAAATTATTTGTCAATTTTTTTCGAAGGAAAATCACGTAAATATAGACAAGTTCATGTAAGCTGAAAGATAGCTGAGTGCCGACCAGCAAATAGGCTTTCAGCCAATTAGAATACGTAGTTGTTGTTATAGGTTTGCGACGTACCATTTCTGTATGATAACAGTTGTTTATATATTTACATTCACAGCTTTGGGTATAGTGAAGTTCAAGGTTCACGTAAGTGCTTCCCCTCTACAAGCTGAATTCTCTATTTGCTATTCAGAAAATGATAAGCGGATCCAGCTATGACAATCGCATCACTATGATGATGGTTATCACAGGTTTGTGTAATGCATTACAGTTCAAAACCGAAATAATCTTGAAAGGAGCCTCACTTCTTCTGGTGGGCAGTTCTGCGGTGGTTATGCTAATTATACGTTACGATATTATGCATATCTCTGATACAATAGTGGGAATAACATATTCTATGCCCGGGTGAGCTACGCGCGGTTGATTAGCACACCACGTGGATACGTGGCACGCAGTCTCTATCATCTCATTTCAATTAGCTTGCTTCACGGTGAACGTTGTACGTACTTAACTTAATAATTTTTAAGAATATTATCGATCGTGAACTCTGTGGCAAACTTGGCTTTCCTATCTGAATTGAAGCACCAACTGTATCGCAAGCTGGGAATGCAGTAAGTATTAGTTTATAGAAAGAGCTTATGAAAATTTCATTACAGTGCGGATTCGAAGCATATTCTTGGATCAACCTTTGCTCATCATACTACACATAGTTAAAGAAGCAACTCAGAAGAGTGAGAATGAAATGCTCCCCTCAATGTTCAACTCGTATTCTTGTCTTCGACCCTACGAAACAAATATGGAATTATACCTTTTCAGTACACTGCATGGCAAATTAAGACTAAAATCTTTATGATCACAGGGATTAGAAAAATTGTTGTTGTCCTTGGCTCAATAAATGATTGTAATACATATACTCTAATGAATCGTGCAACAGGAAAATCTATTGTGCACTTGTTCGTGATTTTGACCTAATCATGAATTTCTGAACTATTAGTCAATAACTGCTTAATATGTTTTTATGCTCAAATATTAAATGATGAAGATCGTAGCCATGTGTCATAGGATTGTTTCGTTGTTAATCTTCGTCACAGTAGATTCTGCTTGATGAAGCTAACATGTTCTAGTAGCTCAACAAGCCTATTCTCGAAAATGAACACCGTTACATTGGTGAGCTAGCTATGTCGTGTTGGTAGATGTACTCTGCTCGATTGGAGAGTCGGTTCAGCACTGATGAAGGTCCTCTGATCATTATAGTTTTTTAATTTTTGGTTCATTAGATAATGATTAAAGTTATGATAAGGTTGGATTATAACCAGGTTTGAATAAATATTTTCAATTTGAAAAGATTGTTTTGGTTGAAATCCATATTGAAGTTGTCTGTATATAAGGAGAGACTGATGGAAATAGAAGTAACTAATCATTCAGACAATGAAGTGGACTGCTTTGGTGAGTTAGGATACATCTGTGATGTACTCACATTCTTCAGACGCTTGATATCATACATTCGTTTCAGATTCTCCTCTCTTCCTTTGCATCATGTTATGCTTACTCTCCATTGGGACCAGATTGCAAACCAGGAGAGATGCATGGCTGTTATGAATGTGAAGGAACATGCGCAGAGCCAGCTCTAGCCTCGGTAAGTAATCTGTAACAAGTCAGCTATTCATGAATCTGTTCAGTCCTGCGAAAGTGGATGTAACAGATACGAATGCCAATGTGCTACAGGCTATGTTCGCTTGGAAGAGACATGTATACTCTTTGATGAATGCGAATAGTTTAAGATCGAGGAGTGTGAAACAATCGTTCGAGACAATTCGAAGATAAATGATTGATCTCTTTTTAACGTTTCCATTCGACACTTAACAGTATCTGCTGGACTTCAATGCATCTCAACCATTAACGTTATCTACGCTCAGAGAAATCTATGATACATCTCATTCTCTCACACGCATTTAATTCTGTTTAAGGATAAGAGTTTATAGAATTATTTTTTTTAAATTGAAATTATGAAATATTAAATAATGAGTATTTGCACTGTTGACAAACAAGCATAGAAACCATATCTCTAAACATCTTTATTGAATTGATAAATAAAAGAATACAATTGGAGTATTAGTGTTAGATGACGAAGCTAATCAGCTGTTTGATCTTAGATTCTTCGTGGAAATATACCATTCGGTCTCCTACCACCAAGCTAAGAACTGCAGAACAGCATTTCGCTTAACTCATACAGAAATGTGATAAAGCTCTTCCCTTTACCCATTTCGGAGAAAGCGTTTTTCTGGTCTTATAGATGATTACAACTTGTAGTCATGAACTTCTGGACTAATAACCTGAGTTTGACTTTTGAGCAACAACTGTTTACAGGCAATAAACGAAAGTAATAAAATGAAAACGTAATCATGTTTGAATAAAT